TGACATCCTCTTGTGCTCTGTTTGAGAAGACCAACTTAGCAAATTTTATTGTTTTAAAAAGTCCTTTCACTTTTTTAATGTTAAAGAGATGAAGTACACTGTAATAAAGAGAAAGTTGCAGTCCATGAGTTTCAGTCTGTCAATTGCAAAACAAAACTAAAAGTGATATTTCACATGACTGGTTCTTCTAGCATCTGTAAAGGCATTGATTAACTTCTTTCCATTAACTTGTTATCTCATCATTAAGCATAAATAATGCAGGGACAGCTGTTGCCAGTGGTTCATTTTTCTTCCTTACCTTCCATTCCCCGAGTTGAAGCTTTCATAGAAGATATGTAAAGGAAATACACAGCATAGTCTATATGCAAGTTTGCCTGGAGTATGAATGAGAGTGTGTGTTTGTGTGCTTAAAAATAGCAGAGGCGTTTAGGGGTTTAGCAGGGTTTAGACAAATAGTGAATGTGCAACTTGTCAAGGGACTGAAAGCAGCCACCCATGGATAACAGCAAGGCATCGAGCCAAGTGTTGAAGATCAGCTACACAAGAGCTAAATCCACAGTAGAGTTGGGTAATCTCAAAGTGATAATGCTCATCATGGCCCCGTGCCTTTGTCAAAAGCCTTAAAGGCTGCAAAGAGCAATGTCACTCAAGATGAGCCTAGAAGCTATCAATAGGAATCAAGGTGAATAATTTTCTGTCCTCCATTCCATCCTGTGTAACAATGATCAAAATATAACTGTCTCATATTTTTGCATGTGAGTGTGAGTGCCAGAATTGGTATCTTCTATGATAAAAATTATCTAATTCCTCTGTACCATCTCTTTTTAATTTTACACATTATTTAAACATACACATAACCTCATACTGATAAACCTGAAGAATTATGATATAAAAGGGAATTTTTTTTCTGTTCCCTTGGAGTTCTGTGTCACATCTTCAGAGGAATTTACTTATACATGAACTGCACATGCAAAATTAATTAATTCAATCCTTGCTTCTCTGGATTGTCAAGAGTGGAGAACAATAGAGGAAGAGGACAACATTTAAAATGCAGATTCCCACACCAAGTAAAAAGAGTTGTTAGAGTGGAGCTTTTTTACTGGTAGTTCCAATTCAACACAGAACTCTCATGCCCATGCAGAGTAGCTGAATAAATTTTTTATAATTATTCTCAAATTCTTGAGTAATTCCTTTTCCTATCATCAAAATATATGTCTAAATATTAAACGCTTAAAACTTTTTGAACTGAATAGATTACAAATAAAAATTAATAAAATTGAAAAGCTGTTCAGCACTTAAAGGCCAAAGGATTTTTCTTTGTAACACAACATTGCTCAATCAGCTGTGCAACAGAAAGATTTAAGTGATCTTTTTAAATATCTTGTGGTGATTATTGTCAAATCAAAAAAATACATTATTAGAAAGTATTAGAAAGATTATTGATCTGTCAAGTAAAATGACTGCGTTTCATGAGTACTTCCTGTCTCAATATTTGGCACTAATTTTCCTCCTAGCAGCAGCAGGATCAATGTTTCTCCTTTTAGTAAAGTTTACCTGTTTCTTACTCGGCAGTGATGCACCTTTCTGTCTGTGGAAATAATTCTTGAAAATTACAAGCCTACTAAACAATTGTGAAACAAATCAAATTAATGATAGAGGATCCACAAGGAAAAATAAAGTACCAAGGAACAATAAAACTGATTATATAAAGATGATCAGAAGCAGAAACATACATGCTTATGAATGTTCTTATCACTTCAACAGAAACTCATGGAGTGCTATGAATTACAGGATAAGAAAGAGAAATTTTGGTTTACTGACACAGATAATTAGTAACAAAATCTTCTGAAGAAAGTACATAGTTATTATTATTACTTTTTTTTTTTTTTTTTTGAATTTTCAAAATACCTGTGAAATTTTTACTCCTAAAAGAACATTTTTGACAAGCAAAAATGTCCTGGTCTACTTTAATAACACAGCAGCAAAGCTGCATCATGTAATAGAGGAAAGAATTTTGTTCAAATGTATACCTAATTGTTTGTACTTCTAAAAGTTTTAGAACCTTTCCTTACAAATATTTGATAATGGTTAGTATATATATTTCTTTATATTTATGGTAGTCATTTAAAAATGGGTAAGAATATTGTTTCAAACATTGCTGCAATGAAGCTGCTACTCAATCACACATCTGATAAATAACTTTTTAAATCTCTCAATACACTCAAGAAAATAAAAGTTCTTCAGAGACCTTTTCTTACACGCATTACTGCCACATCTAGGAGGACAGCAATAGATGTTTGATGTGGCTCAATAATATTTATATGACAGCTTCCAACAGGAAGTGCAAGAAAACAGTTTCTGTGAATGATGAAAGTGAAAGAGTTTAAGATATTGTCAGAGCAGCAAGAGCAACATCCTTTTTCATGAAATTGCATAAGATCAAACCTTGCACATTCAAAGTGGATCAGAGCCTCTAGTGTATGACACATCATGATTCAAAGGAATGATTCCAAGTTGGCAGTTTCATGAAATGATGCAGGTATGAATAATGCAGACAGCAAATGAGTAGTTAACATGCATTTTATGTTTATTACTCTCTCCTCTGACACATCATTAGGGGCATTCTTGAGATTTTGCCTTTTGATTTTACAAAGTCTTGCCAGAAAAAATGTTCCTTGCGAAGTTATCTCTCATCTAGAGAATCTGCTTTGGAACACCTACACAACCCACAGTACAAAACCAACAACTCCTCCTCAGCGAGCTTTACTCTGTATATTCTTCATAATTGGTGTTTGGACCTTCTCATATCATGCACCCCAAATCTTCCATTCAAGATTTCACTTTCTGCAGACTGATGCTTCCTCTTAATCCTCGTATTCTATGCCATTTCCTGCCTTGGTCTACATTCACACCTACCTTTTAGCTTCAGTCTCTTATCACAGCATTACTTTTATTTTTTTTAACATTTTTTTTTGCCAAGCTTTTCATCTGCTCTCTCTTCTGAACTGTTCTCTGCTCACCAGCATACCCACAAAGGCACTGGACAGCCTTTGATCTGCCTGCTATATAAAAGATAATTTCAACATTAAACATATTTGTATTTTAAACCCACAAACTGAGGGCTTATGAAGTAACTGTATTGATTACAATGGTATTTCTGCTAGCATTTTTTAAGATGTTAGATGCTTCACAATGTTTAAAGTTCTTATTAAAAATCCTGCTGGAGTTATTAGTTAGTTTTGACCTCATTTGACTGTTCTTAAAGAAATCAAAAGGAAGTACTAATCCTGGAGAAAAATATTGCATATATATCACATTCTGCAAAATGTATTTATTGTTACACTTCTTTTTGTAAAAATATAAACATACTGTTAGTTCATCTGAAAGTCATCAGCATCAGTAATACAAATGCTTCACAGTTTTGATAAATCTCTAAGTTGCCAAGGTGCTTCTTTAATACACAGAAAAAATTATTGACCCTCAAAAGGCAAACACTTTGGCAATTAGTTTCAAGTCATAACCTGTAAATATTGACAAATAGGTGTCTCTTATAATTATCAGAGTTTTGAGACTTAAAAAATTATGCCCAAAGAATAGAGAACAGCTGACCCAATAAAGCAGTTTGTGACAGAACAGTAATGGAGGGCAGACAAGTACAAACCTATCTTAAGTATTACACATATATTCATACTATCCATCATATTCTTTAACATGCCATTTCTGACATAACACTTTCAATTCTTCTGGCCAAGACACAGGGGTAGGAAGAACAAAGCATAAAAAGTAGTGACTGGATAGAAAACTTTATGTATGCTAGAGAATGTGACACAAGATCCACAAAGAGAAACCAACTTAAAAACACAGTCCCCCAGAATAATACTGCACTGGATTGTGTGGTGTGTTCTGTGTCCATATCCTGCTCTCCATCACAGCCCATAATCATCTTACTAAGATATTTGTTGTGTTCAACACTAGGAGGAGCCTCTCTGATTTGGTAGACTCCTTGTTTTTCAAGGAGAGCACAATGTGACTCAAGGTGGCTTCACCTTTCTATTTCCCCTCACAAGCATTAACTTCACATACCTCATATAAAATTAGTTGGTATTTGATATTCACTGTCACTGGAGCTACCTCTCCCTACAATAATATCAAGTTTTGTTGCCTATCTTCTCTTTCAGTTTTGATTTCTGTATCATTTTCCACCCCTCACACCTTTTTGCAGCATCTTTAACAATTATTAGCAAACTGGTCTAGTAAAAGATACCTTACCCATGGCATTGGGGTTTGAAAGAGATTATATTTAAGGTTCTTTCCAACCCAAGCTTTCTATGGTTCTATGATATCAATTTATGACAGTTCCCCAGAAATCTGGTTTGCTATTTGAAGAAACAGAGCTCAGATTTAGTGAAACAACTAACTGTTGTTCAGATTGTTGAGATCATTACTCAAGAGTTCCATCAGAGACCACCATGTGCTTGTTCAGATTTCCTGCACTTTATATGCTCGCCTTTTATGATCTGGGCTTCTGAAATTGTCATTAAAATAATAATGATTTATTGAGCCCATGATTTCTTTATTTATCTTGCTGTTTCCTGTTTTTATTTACAACAATTGAGAAACTGAAGTGTTTCATTTGTTGGACTAAATAATAGCAGCTGTTTGTAATTAAAACATTCAGAAGATAGGTGGACTAGACTGCACTTACATAAAAGGTGTAGCCTAGTATTTTCCCTAAATATTTCTGGTTTATAAAGATTTGATATTAAAAATTACTATTTAAAAAACCCAACAAAACAAACAAAAACTCAAACCAAAATAAAGAAAATAAATGCAAAAAAAACCCCCAAAAACCAAAACAACAACAACAAGAAAGTTAAAAAACAACTGAAAACCCCAACAAGACCTCTAAATAATATTAATGGAAGGATAAGTGTAATATAATTTAAGAGGAATCAATCATTTTGGATTTAACTATATTTGCCAGTGCATAAGATACTTACAAGTAATACTTATGTAGTCACCTAATGTGGCCTCTTGATGCTGCAGTTTCTCTTGTTAGAGACTCATTTCATGCTCATGCTTCTGCCACTGCCTTCTGCATTATGGGTGGTGGAGAGTAAAGCAGCAATGTCATCTGAGAGACTGAAAAAGAAGACAAAAGTGAATGAAGCAGAGATTTCAGAAGACACTGGATTAACCTAATTTTTTTTCAAGCAAGACTTTTTTGACAATGGTCAATTATACACAAGAAATTATGATAAATCTGTCATCTCTTTTCCTTTAATTTCCCACTTCTTCACAATGACAGAAAACAGGGAACTGCTTGAAACCTCAAGAGGATGCAGCTGGCAGACAGCTGAGCAAGATATTTCCGAAGAGTCACTTATTTTCTGAACAATAGTTTCAGGTCAACTGAAATTACTTAAATTAATCTATAAAAGGAGACTCTTAAAAAAATCTAAAATGAATTTGAATAATGAGCAATTTTTACAGTATTGTGTTCTGATAGTTCCCTTTTGAAATGTTCCTGAATTACTTTTGTAAGGGTGGTGAGGCAAGAAAAAATCTTGACCTACATTAAATTTATTTGTATATTTAAACTGAAAGTATATGCCATTCTATTTGTTGGGTACTCTTTAAACAAATAATGGATGATATTTATCTACATCCAGGCAGCCAAGGCACCAAGAAACAGTCTGAACTGTGCTGTTGATCATGAAAATATTCCTTCTGCTTGTTCAACCTGCTCCAGCATTTCACAGTTTTTTTAATGCATTCACCTCATTTAATTGTGTTTTCCTCAAAATCACTGAGATCTACCTAATTCCTACTGAAATAGATGCTCAAAAAGGGTTCCTCTCAAATCAGCTTCTTTTCTGAATCTTTTATCTATTAAAACAAATGTAAAACACTTGAAGTTTGAAAGTCAGTTGGGGCAGGGATGAGAAAGCAGTATGCAAATAGCATATAACAAAACCAGGTTTTTTTTTTCTTTTCATTTGTAATGATATGAAATAGTTGATATATAAGAAAACATTTCAATTAAACTATGACAGATCTCTTTTACATGATTGTATGGTGTTAGTCACAGCATGGATCAGCACTAAAAACATTAAATTTTTGTGCCTTTATTAATTTTGTGAAAGGTAGACTCTCTCTAGACTCAACCTATTAAAGAGAATTATGCATGGATTTTCTCCATCCCTTTCAATCAACTAAGTATGTTCACATCAGTTTTAAAAGAGAAAATTAGTTTTATAGCACAAGGGTAATGATAGGATAATTGTTTCTTATGAATATATAACCTTGAAAGAAATAATAATAGGGGAATCTGTGTGTTCTTAAAGCTAATTTTGTGTCAACTTTTTCTTGATAAACATTACTGTTATCCAATGTAGCACAATACTTCTTTTGTTTAAACATGTTTTCATATACCATTAGACATAATTTCCTTATTTCCCACAAAGATTTATTGATTATTACAAGCTTTAAATTTAAAATTACCTCTGAATATTCAACAAGTTTTTCCTTGAATGATATAAGCAAGATTTATACAAAATATTTTCATGCTTTCTCTTATTTTATCTTTCATGTTCTTTATTTAATTTATCCTTACACTTTAAAAAAATACACTGAATTAAAGTTATTTAACAGCAAAGCTGAAAGTTGGAACAACTTATTTATTTACCTATATCTTTTTTCCCTGACAGATTGGATTAATGTATTTTTGATCAAATGTTTATTAAGCTACACATCTACACATTAATTCTGAATCTTAGAAGATATATCTTCTATTTCCAGAAATAGGTAAATAAAACATCTAGCTCTTTTTCACAGAACATCAAGAGAAGAGTATAATTTTTAGAAAGATTGGTGAAAAAAAGCCTGAGAAATAGCACATGTAATTCATGTGTGATTTTTTTTAAATTACAAAAAAAGTTTGAATTTTTACAATGTACAAAATTAATATATTCATAGTGTTTAGTAGAATTACTATTCCTGCTTGTTAACAGGAGTGTAGTTCATAAGAGGTAAGGCTTTTTCATATAGGTATGTTCTATTTGAGTCAGTCAGAAGGAACCAACATGAATGTGTTATAATTTGCATGTTTGCTTTAGAACTTAATAATCATAAAGATAAAAGCCAACATTGTAGTTCAGAAATTGCAGTTGTCTGGTGTTCAAATCTTCACAGAGTCCTAGTTAATTAAATAACTGCATCCTCTTATCTTTAGCAGGCTTGTAATTTAATACAATCATTTAGCAGAAAGTTAAATGAGAGCACAAATATTTGGTGGAATTTAAATATCTATTTAACCTAAAATTGGCTGTTACAAGTAATCATATTAGATGTTTTTTCCTATTCATATTCCTGCTGTGCTGAGGTGCAAAAAGACTAGGGATCTTCTTTGTGAAATGGGACTTATGTATTTTAACAGTGTAGGATGTTGCAGAGAGACATACTAGATTATTGGCATGAGAAAGATTAGGTTTATGCATATAGTCTCCTTTTTTAAATAAGCAGCCACAGCTGAATGAAATGGAGCTTACTGTCAACCTCCGCTGAAGGTATTTGAATGAGCTGAGTCCACAGTCGGTTTCTTTTAGAGTAAGAATAAACTAATCCATTCTGTCAAAAATAAGGATATTAACTACTTTGACCTCTCAGTATGAAGCAGGTAATGAAAGGAATGGAGGAGTAAAAGAAGATAAAAAAATTAACAGGAACAAATTGTAGAATTGTCACTGAATTTTGATTTAGGACCCAGATTTAGGACCCAGGAAGATCTGAGCTTTGCAATTGGTGTATCTGCAGAACATAAACTGGTTCCTAGAACTGTGCCCACTGTTTCCTGGGACACTTAACATATATGCACATGTGCAGCTTCATGTGACATCAAGACAAAGGCCTTAATTTAATGCAGCTCCCAAGCAAAGAGGGTCCATGGTCCACACTCTGGCATATATTACCTTTTGCCATTAAATCTTGATTTTCATAGTTTAGGAAGGTCATGTATTTTAAATTTCCAAAAGTAATGTCATTCTGGCATTTTTCTAGCATAAGCTATTGCCTAAGATTGTCCTGAGGTATAAAGTGTTTCTGAGGAAAAGTTCTATAACTCTCTCTGTATTGTGCTACAAGAAATTTCTGTTCCTTTGAAAATAGCCAGTAGCTATTAATTTATTCAGATCATAATATAACACCTAACTTCTTAACTTGTTTTCTATTTCACATGCAGCTAATCTAAGTTTTGCCACGTAAACTCTCATTTTGTGCCAAAACAAAACCCAAAGGATGTTAAAAAATATGTCACTAAAATGGAGATCAAAGAAGAGCAAAGTTACAATAATGTCTTAGAGCCTTAGAGGCAGATCTCACAATTAACCTGTACTTTCTGGAGTTATATACTACCATAACTTGCAACAGCTTCCTGCTGGAGTACAGAACGAAAGGAAGCCAAATGGTTCTTGACTTTTTTTACATATAGCCAGAAAGACACCTATATTAGATTTGGAAACATTGATAAAATTAAAATAATAATTACCTAACTCCCTCATTGTTAAGTTTATAGAGAACAAACTTACTTTTCAAGGTGTAAGTCCAAAGGCAACATTGACAGCTGGGGATGAAAGAGAAGAAAATTTTGTGTTAAAATATATTTTCTCAGGAAGATTTCAAGTTTTACTGCAAATATGATTTGTATAAATATATGAGCCCAGAAAAACATTTAGCCATGAAAACAGAATTTCTTGCTTCTTTCTGTTGAGAAACATTTTTATCCATGAAGTATACTGACAAATTGAATACACAATAACTCTACCAAATACAAATTGTTATCAAATATAAACACAGTCAATCTATCAAAATACAAAATATTGATATGAGGGATTTTTTTCACTTTCACTTCTTTTCTCAGTTATTCTTGAAAAAGTTATTTACATTCCTGTGATTTAATTAGCAGTGCCTCAACAGAAGAGTATGTGTCACTACAATTTAGAAGTAAAAGTCGAAGAAATACTAAATACCTAGATACTCTGGATCTGTAACAGAAGGTGATTAGAGTGAGCTCGAAGAAAATCCAGGATCTAAATGACATTGTGAACAAATTTTTAATAACCTTATATTTCAACAGGACAACATATGTTTTCACATGGATTTCAGGAAAAATAAAAGTAGCCCATGTCATTATTATTGAATGACAAGGTGCCTTTTTGTAATCACACTTTATCTGGTAAATGTGTGATGCAGGATTCATATCAATTATTAACTGACAAGGAGAATGTAAGCATACAAGTAGTTATTGCTCTAAAGGATTTGTGTGCACTACATGAATGAATGGCCTGGAATGGCTTGAATCCAGTGAATTTGTCCTGCTGTTTCAGCTCAGAGATGGTAGCTGACACATCACTAGAAGTGATAGATAAGAAATAGATAAGCAGGAATATAGTTACTAATCTGAATGATTGTTCTAGCAGTTAGGGTATTACTCACCAGTGAAAACCCATATGTTCTTTTACACATATTTAACAAAAAAAGCTTCAGCTTTAAGTCAAAATTGTTTTTAACATGTATGTTCTTTCCTCATTGAACACTGCCTCATTATCAACTGTGATCACATTTTAAATAAACCTTTTATTATTAAAGATCTTATTAATGTGGGAAATGTTCACTGCATTTGGAGACCACAGCTTGAAATGTTCTGGCTTCAAAATGAAGAATGTAACTGCAAGTGGCAAATGTAGACATGTGGACAGATGGTTTATCAGTTTAATCAGTCTCAAACCAAGAGGTATCAGTTGCTTTATGTCAGATAAGTTAATATATAATGGCATTACTTCATGCACTGGTTAGTGTCTCTAGTACTATTAGAATAGCATGGTAGAATCTATGTCTCCAGATAAAGAATTTACAGAAAAAAAAAAGATGAGTTCATTCTCAAACACAAAATAAAATGAGGTGCTAATAACACAGGCAACAAGAGCAGCTCATGCACATAGTCCCTATTACCAACCACTGACATTGTATATGGAATAACTCTTCAGAAGGACTTGTTTTTAAGAACAAAGAGAAAAACCGAACCATTTAAAATATGCTGTCATTGATGTGATTCTATAGTCAAGACCTTGTGAATAGTTTACAATGGGACAGTCGAATTTTTCCTGAGTGGAACAGGGCACAGGCATGAAAGACTTGTTTCCCTTTGCACGCTCAGGAGTTACTTAGTCCTTCATCCTGCCTGTTCTACAACATCCCAGTGAATCAGAGTGCTGAATTTTACATCTGAGCATCAACAAATCCAGAGGGCGATTTGCTATGAACAGTGAAATATGTAACAGCAAAAAACCCCAGCCAAGACCAAAGAAAACCAAACCAAACCCCTACAACATGAAACCTGCCCTGCAGTAGCCTTTTCAGATTAAAACTTCCATAACAGAAAAGTAGAAATTAGTTCAGAAATCAGTGAAGACTTATGAAAGAGGGAGATGTCTTTGCAGAATAATTAGCTACTATTTTTAAGTCTTTCTTTGCAATTCATTGGCGTTTTAAACAACTTGTTTTTCCTTTTGTCCTGTTTGAAAGAAATGGGATTCCATTTTTTTTGTGTTGTGCTTCTTCATTTAATAGAAAAATATTTTTTACTGGTAAGTGCTTAACTGAGAAACAAATAGTGAAATGTCTGGTTTTTAGAGTCTTTTTTTCATTTGTAGTGAAGCACACAACATTTTCAATATTTCTTACAAAAAGGATATGTATAGTGAACTGCAGGAATCTTGATGAGAATGGAAACACATTTACAGAGAGAATATGAAGATTATATCAATAATTACATCTAACAATGTCATCTGCAAGTATTAATATACTTTACATAACATTTCCATTTTGCACTGCAACAGTGCAAACACCAGTTTAAACAACCAGAAAGATTAATGTATGCCAGAGAAGCTTACCATCCTTTCTGCCTTTCTGATAGGTAAGGAACATAAAACAGGGAGTAGGTGCATGAAATTAAAGCCATGAAAGAAAACACTATGTATCATATACTTTTCTTTAACTTTTTATTAATCACTACAGATTCTACATAAGCACATAAATGCACATGAAAATATATGTTACTTTTCTCATTAAAATGTGTGCAAAAGATTAAAAAACCCACCTTGCTAAGCTTACAGTGTGTTTGATGAGTACAAAAAACTTGAATACTGTTTTAGGAAAACCATATTGAAAAGTTACCTAGCCAAATTTGCTGTGAAGCAATTTTTAATATCTGCCCTCCCCCCTCAAAATGTTTGTAACTAAAAAAAGGAATTACCATTAAAATACAGAGCACTTTTCTGTAAGTGTGATGCCTGTTTCTTTTTAAAGTCTCAAATATGATGTAGCAAAGTGATCAAATATGCTCTATGCATTCCCTAGAATGTTAGTACAGAATTTTTCAGCAGCTTATTATGTGTGCTAATATCACAACAATCAGAAATAGGGAATGAGGAATTATTTGGCAATAATGTTTAATGCCTAACCTTTTATCTCTAATAAGGAGAAAAGGCTAAAAGAAGACAAATTTCCACATCCTCTACAGGCTTAAATGCACTGGATGAGGTGGAAAACTCCAATTATTGCATTCCTGATAGACACTTGTGCTCTGTTTGGTGGGAATTTTCATTCGTCACTGGGGAATAATTGATTTTTAAATTTAGATGTTCTACTGTCCATCTTCCAACATAAAAGAAAAAAAATATTGCTATAATAAATCCCAGTAACAATAGCTGTCTGAAAAAAAGTCATTACTGTAGTTAATATTGCATTGTTAAATTATAGTTCTTCCTTTACTTAAAAAATATGAGTTTTTAAAAATCCAAATAATTAGTAATCAATTTATTTTATTTAGAAAGTTAAAGGTTAATTTTCTTAAATATACTGAAAGTAATAAAACACTGTAGATATATTAATCATACAAAATTCTATAAGAAAATCTATTTTTTCTGCTGATGGTATTTTGCTGCACCTCTTTATCTTTCAGTTTAATTAGTGATGCACAGATGCAAAGAGAATAAATCCATGCCATTAAAAACTTGTATGCATCTGGATTATTTGCAGCACTATAAATCATTAACCAATAATGCAATATAATTTAAAAAACCTTTGGGCCAGACTTTCAAAGGTATTTAGGTATTTGTACAATTTTCAGGAATTTAAGCATCAGTTCCACAGAAGAGTCAGTGACAATTAGAATTCTGCACAGTTTTGAAATACCAGTAGGTATTATTTTACATGTTTTGGTATCTAAATGGTTTTAAAAAATCTGGTGGCTTATCAATCCCTCTTGAAGCAGAGTAGTTTGATTTTATGGCCATAGGCTCACAGAAAAATTTGTATAAAATAATGAAGATGGGCGTACATAGTGTTGCAGCTGTAGCATGGAAAATACCAATGTGTGACTTTTTTGCTCACAGTCAATAATGAGCTGGCTTGCTACAGAGGTACATATGAACTCTCTACACCCTACAGACACTGGGTAATAATTTGTGTTAATGATTTTCATTGTAATACTGAGTAATGATTACAGAGTATGTCAACAAACAGCAGTCAGCTTCACAAACATAAAAAATAGATTCAGGCATTAAATGTAACTTAAATGAATAACAAACTTATCTCATAAATAGCTTCAAGAATTCAAAAATATTTATTTTTACTCTGTTGAGACAAATAAACAGAAAATAAAAGCACATACCCTCTACCAAGTGTTCAATTTCTTTCTTCCTGTTAAACTTACTCTACCCATTTATCTTTTTTTTTTTTTTTAATTTTTTTTTTTTTTCCTAGCCTGCACAGAACTTTTGGCTGCACAGCATTCAAATGGAACTCCATGCAGCCTGGCAAATGGACTTTTAAAAGTAGCCTCAGTCTCCTGCTCCTTGCCCATAAGAAAAATCTATCCTTAAACTAGCACTGTTTCACTGCATTGCAGACATCTTTTAAAACTTGATGTAGTTGCCTTTCTTCCATGAGGAGATAGATACTATGTGGAGAGTCAGATTGGAAAAAAGACTGGTAAAAAAATCTACTAGACATCTTAAAATTCCTCTTTTCCTGTAAGCTCAAAGTGATTTTTCTGCAGTGAAATACTCCTGAAGCTGCAGTGAAAATATTCGGTATCCTAGTCGCATTTTGAAGGGGTGATAGCAATGATGGGATGGAAATCAAAGCATAAACTGCAAGGAGAAATAACTGTATAGTTTATTTCCAGGGTAATGTTTGCACTAGGATGCTCTAGAAAAAAAAACAAACATTAATAAATAGCTCCATTTTAATATACAATACTATTATAATATAGTCCATTTGCTTTTGTAAACACACCACAAGGCTTTGGATGACAGGTAATTCACAGGTTCAATATCCTTCATTAATTGATTCTGAATGAAATAGGGAGAACACTAATCAGAACTGATTTCAAGTGCTGTTTACTTGAGGGAGTGAAAATGGTATCTTCTCCCAAGAGGAAATGTTTATATTGCATTAAAAGACAAGCCCTGTGATATCCTGGGTCTCTCAGGAGAAACAGGAGTTTAATAAACTGCAAAGTATTTTCCTGTTGAGGTAGAACACCAGGAAT